TATATATATATATATATATATATATATATATATATTAAGCAGATTAAGCAGCATTTGAGTCGAAGCAGCAAATTGCAGTAAGGCTGCATGTACTCGTTCACGAGTTCACATATATTTTCGATCAAATTTGTAATCTTAACTCAAACTCACATTTTGGTATTCGATTACACAAGCCCGACGCTGGTCTATATAAAGAAATACATATCTAGATTCCAGTCTCAAAATCGAACAGGAACGATTCTACGCATATAGAAACCTCTTAATTGGCCTATATGCCTTTCCAGGTCATTCCTTTGTACCTCATGAACGAGTATTACAATGCTTAAGGAAGAGTTTTGCACTTAGTAGGTAGGCATTGACTTCAGTCAAGGTCTAATTCAAATCTGAATTATGAACTAGTAGACCCAAGTTAATCATCAAAATTATGATAAAAAAAAAGGGTTTTACTCATATTTTTTTCTGGCTACTAAATCAGCTTAATCTTAGAATGATTTGTGCGTTATTTATATTTGATATAAACAAGTAAAGGATACAAAATTCAATTTTAAACTTCATTTAATTATAAAGTAAACTTAATTAGCCAATCAATTGAACAGAAAGTATATAATGAAACACACAATGGAAAAAAAGAAACACTTTAATATGTGTATATACTAAAAACGTTGTTTGTTAATTATCTACATATATATATATATATATATATATATATATATTTATATATTTATATATATATATATAAAATATATATATATATATAATTGTTGTTTCTTTTATAATAAAAGAAAACTTGGTAAATGGTAAACTTTAACTAATAAACTAGGCTGTAGAATAAAATAATAAACATATTTTTATTAGAAAATATTAGAAGATAAAACGTGTTATTTAATATATATGTATTATATATATATATTAATATATATATGTATATATATATAAAGTAGAGAAATTAGCCAACCATTGCCGGAACACTCGTCTACTGAGAGATGGCTGCAAAAAATAAAAACCAAGAATATAGCAAATAGTGATGGATTGAAGTTTAAAAGTTAAACAATAATTAAAAATAAAAAGAAAATATGATAAAAAGTAAAATAAAGCAAAAACAAACCAAAGTATAAATTGATAATGAAACAGAAACTGAGTTTAAAAAACGAAAAAATCGAAAATTCAACCCACCTTGAAATTACATATTTGTTATATACCTGTTAAATTATTATTAAAAAAATCAATTTATGATAAATTAAATTGCTGCAAATAAAGCATTTTTAACCTAGAAACAGTACTATTTAATTTCCGTTGTAACCACTAAGGGCGTGGATCAGTGTGTCTGAGTTTAAATGTGTCAAAATTCGCTTTATTATTTAAAATATGAGCAACGGGGTACTGAACAAATTACTTTTCTCGAATATTTCCGATTGCTCGATTTGAGTTTTAACATAAAGGACGACAACATTGAATACATAAACGATAAGAGGCCCATATGCATGATCGCCTAGCAGATCCCTTGAACTCTAAATGACCTGGGGCTTTAAAGCTACATTTGCAACGCATTGAAAATGGGAAATCAGGGTATAATGGTTTTGAGAAAAATTATGTAACGGGCAGAAGTAATCATCGCAGATCCCATAAAGTATATATATTCTTGATCAGGACGACGAGCTGATTCGATATAGCCGTTTGACCGCCTGTCCGTCCATCTGTATGAGTGCGTCGATCTCTGAGGATACCAAAGCTAGAGACCTGATGAGCTGGTTACTCGCGTAACCATACGCAGTACGAGACTGCTCGGCTACAAAATCCCCTGAACCCAAGCAATTGATATATTCAATGAATATTCGCATATTTTCTGCTCTACACACGCATTGGCTGCAGTTTGTGATAACTTAATTGTTTAATATTTTTTTTTTTGTGAATGAACTATCTTCATGAAACTGATTATAACACTGAAATGTCAAAAGTCGTCACTAGTATTCAATTCAATGTAATCGAATTTCCAATTATGTCCAAAAGTTTTTATACACTCAGTAACTCAAACTAAAAATTCATTGCTAAGATGCGTTAATTCGTAGTTATGTACATATATGGTCAAACACTCGGCAATTCAAATTTTAAGTTTCTTGGTGTGTCAGTAGGAACTTCCTCTTGTACAAAGTTAGTGGTGGAATTCTATAAAGAACGTATGAGTCCACATATAAAATTTTGCGACTTTGGCTATAAAGATGTAGCACATACAAATGTATTACTGATTTTCGATGATGTTTCAATCGATAACAAAATAATGGGACAACTTATCGATTTTTGAAGAAAAACGATATGCGATACATACGCACCTAGGAAACAAATTTCAAGTCTAACTCGACAGCTCGTCGCCCTGATCAACAATATATATATATTTTATGGGCTCTGCCACGCCTCTTTCTGTCTGTAACGTACATATTCACAAAAACATAATAGCCTGATCTCCCATTTTCAATGGGTTCAGGATATAACAAGAAAGAAAGCTCTAGTCGAGACTG